GTTTTTACACAAATATATATATATATATATACGCATATATAAGTTCGTGGATGAAATAAGGATGGCCTGCGAGAGAGACATAATATTATACGCTTTCACTTACATCTGGAATGAGAGTACGTTATGACAATGTTAACCTTTGACTGTAGCAACGACACCGAATATGCGTCACAAAGCTGCTACAGGGGTTGTCTTCAGGTGTACGTACACCCCAAATAAACACGTTCTTTTTGGGCAGTGACCAGGCATTCTAATGTAAACGTCTTTACGTGCGATTAAAATGTTTTTCTTGAGTGGTATGTGTTTTTTGGCATTCGAAAGTCGACTCGAGGGCATCGTACATTGAAGGTAATGTATTCCTGCTGGTGATATATATCAGATATATATATATACATATATATACGTATGATAACATGTAAATAAATTCTATTCCTGACAATATAATTATGTATATGTGTACGCGTGCATGTGTTTATGTGCATAGATAGATAAATAGGTCTCGTATCTTTCTCGTTTCCCCTAGTCACTCTACGCATACAGTTGTCAAGACTATTTACAATCATCTTCGCTCCGTCTCTACGATCTGCGGAACAATCTAAGGATGTTTTTTGAACCCGACGGCGTTGTTGCTTGGGTGATGATGACGTCATCGACGCTGCTGCTGCCCGCGCACGAATCGGCTTCTTGTATCCTCATCTTCATCTGACTCTCAAGCACTGTCTGCATGTCGGACTGTAAGCATATATGTACACATATATTATTACTCTTATTAGAAACATGTAAAAAAAAAAAAGAGAGAGGGAGAGAAAATGAGCGCAAATGACAAGGGAGTGAAAACGAGTGAGAGATTAGATCGAGATAGAGAGAGACAGAAAGACAGCGAGAGATAGAAAGAGACAGTGAGCGAACTGGAGAGCGAAAGAAAGGTACACTGAGAGAGAACGAGAGAGATAGAGGTGGGGAAACCCGTGGGCGATATCGAGATAATGCTAGAGACACAGAGAGAGAGACACACAGAGAGAGTGAAAGAGAGAGAAAAAGCGAGACACAGAGAGAGAGAGAGAGAAAGAGAGACAGAGAGAGAGAGAGAGAGAGAGACAGAGAAAGAGAGTAAGAGAGAGACAGAGAAAGAGAGCGACAGAGAGAGCGGAGTACTACACACCTCCCACGCTTCGACCTGGACAGACATTGCTACTTTCTGTTGGATGGCTTCCATCAGCTGCATATCTAGTTTGCTCGTCTCTAACCTCACGTTGGTTAACTCCAGCTCCAGGTCGTTGTGCCTGCGATACAGATCAATAAATCGATTAGTACGCTGATGCAACATCGTCGTAATTGGTATCATGTTATCAGGAGTGAATAATAGAGATGTCTATTATTCACTCCTGATGTTATCGTTGTGTCAGTATTTTGCTGTAGTTTTTCCCGTTTGTTCTGCATCTTCATTCACGTGGCACTAGTTTGTTTATGTACAAGAATGAGAGCGAGAAGGGAAGAGACCGAGCGCGAGCGAGCGAGGTTGAGAGAAAGAGAGCGAGACCGAGGGAGAGAGAGATCAAAATATGCTATTATCGGATTAGCGGTTGTTCAAGCATAAACCCTGTATTTTGCAGCGTAATTTCTAGTTCAGGTGGTATTATCTCGGGGTTGATGTGGTAATTAATTAAACACCTCAGCGATGCAAAGCATCTGTTTGTCCAATGCACTTAATTAATACACAGTAGGCCTACAGTTTTTCGAAATGACGTGGTGGTCGCCAGTAACTCAACCATATCAAGAGCTAATAATACCTTATTATATATTATTATAATAAGGTATTATTAGCTCTTGACCATATGTAATACATTTTTTACGTAATTAAAATATGAGATAATGAGTTGTTAATTATGTTAAATTGCATGTGACAGCAGGCGCAAAACGGCTGTAAAAAATCTTAAAATCTATTCTATCCCACATGACGTAACCAATACACGTAATGGGGGGTTGTTTACCTTTTTGTGACGTCACGTCTCTCCTGTCTGGTTTGTTTTAACACTTCATCGATGGCAAGTTCGCTCGATTCGTTAGCAGCAATATCTTGTAGTTTGTCTCGTTCAGCCTGAAGCTCGGCTATCTCCTTGTGTTGTCTCGTCAGCTGTAAGGCAACAAGTACGTTTATGCTGTTCCCGAGTCGATATAAACCATTCAACGGCTCTAATTGTATCATAAACTTTTAGTTTTTGGAGCGTCAATGTAACATTTATTCGACCGTTAAATAATTTAATGTCGACAATAATCAATCGGATCAATTGTTCGGCGGCGCCACCGTTGTCATGACAACGGATCTGTGGCGGAAAACGAGTTTTACCGTATCCAGGGCGTGAATCCAGAGATCAAAATTTCTTTAAATTCGCTTTAAATAAAATAATGTTCTTCAAGGTAAGATATATATATATATATACATATATATATATATTAATATACTTGTCAAATCACATTGAATTGCTACCCACGATTTCTCTAACAAAAAATCTATGACGGTGATCCCACCGGCTTGAGAATATTTTTTTGGTTTACGACGCGTTGTGTGAGTTGCTAAGACTCTTCGTTCTTTTTTCTTCACGATCCTTTTCTAGAATCGAGGGGGCGGCCCGCTTCTCTTCATCTCGTGAGTACTTTATTTCCCTCGATCAGTTCGCTCTCGCATGAGTTTGGATTTGGGACTTAGTGAGACACGCTTTCAGCCGTACCAAGCAGCTCGTCCCTGGTATCTCTGCTCCTCCTGCTTGTTCTCTAGCGCACATTAAGTATTGACATGTTATTTCACGAACCCTTCCTTTTTCAATGCATCTTATTCTAGTCGTTGGACTGCGAATATTGATGTGGGCATTTATTATATCGCCTGTCACAAGCGCGTGCTCGTCTACTCAAAAACGTGATCGTGTTATGAATCCGGTAGTTGATTCACACCTCGCAGGAATGTTCAGGTGCTTCAAAGACGCGCCGCATATGCATTCCTCAGGCGTGCATCTTCCGCTTCATACGCATATATATGACAGGAGCTAGAAATCGCGCCGAATATGTCGGTTCATAATACAGCTGATCGCGTAGGCGCGTTTGGATCCGGGATCGTTACTGTCAGATATGATATAAGGAGCAGAAAATGCAGTCGCTTAGATATCTCGTGTAACGCTACACTCACGGTATCTCCTTTTATCATCACTATTCTTTAATGCGCGAAAATGTAGTCATCGCGAATATCGCCACAGTATCGCAATTTGATTCCTGTTTCATTTACGCATCGCATATTCTATGATTCATTTACCTATCGCATATTCTATATCTGTCATTACCGATCTGCATATTCTATACTCATGTACGCATCCGGCATATTCTATATCTCATTTACCATCGCATATTCTATATCTCATTTACATCACATATTCTTATCTCATGTACCATCGCATATTCTATATCTCATTTAAGGCCATCGCAATATTCTATAGTCTCATTTACCATCACATATTCCTATATCGTCATGAACGCATCGCATATTCTATATCTCATTTACCATCACATATTCTATATCTCATTTACCATCGCATATTCTATATCTCATTTACCATCGCATATTCTATCTCATTTACCATCGCATATTCTATATCTTTATTAGCGCATACGCAATATTCCCTATAATCTCATTTACCATTCGTCTATTCTATATCTCATATTTACCCATCGGCAGTATTCTATATCTCATTTAACCATCGACATATTCTATATCTCTTTACCATCGCATATTCATATCTCATCTTACCATTCAATATTCTAATCACATTTACGGCATCGCATACTTCTATTATCTCATTTAGCATCTGCATATTCTAATAATTTCATTACCGGCATCGCATATTCGTTAATATCCTCATTTACATCCATATGTCTATATTCATTTTACCATCGCATATTCTATATCTCATTTACCATCGCATATTCTATATCTCATTTACCATCGCATATTCTATATCTCATTTACCATCACATATTCTATATCTCATTTACCATCGCATATTCTATATCTCATTTACCCATCGCATGATTCTATATCTCATTTACCATCACTATTCTGATATGCTCATTTCACGCATCGGGGATATTCCCTATATCTCATTTACCATCACATATTCTATATCTCATTTACCCATCGCATATTCATATCTCATTTACCATCGCATATTCTATATCTCATTTACCATCGCATATTCTATATCTCATTTACCATCGCATATTCTATATCTCATTTACCATCGCATATTCTAGTATCGTCATTTAACCGCCATCACATATTCTATATCTGATTTACCATCGCATATTCTATATCTCATTTACCATCACATATTCTTTAAATGCGTTATCTACGAGCGACTCCAACTCCTTGGTGACACCACGCAGCTTTCCTGATTGCACGTGCCATTCACCGCTGTCAGACGCCCAGCCATCGTCAATCCCGTTGTCATCTTGGCACCTGTGGTTGGACTGCTGTAGATATCTACACAGCTGTCGTATGCGATTGTACGCTTCCAGTACCTCCTGCTTGAGCTGAAACATCACGGAATGCATCGTCATTGTCATCCACATCATAATCTAGGCTTGCTCTGCCTCCCATGCCGTATTGTTTCTTCGCTACATAGGGAGACTGAAGTGGCTTACCTAAGCGTAGTAAGAATCATCGTGGCTAGGCAGGTGGGGAGGGTGGGTGTGTGCTGCGCGGCGGGGAAACAGACTACGCATGCAGTTATAGTGCATTACAGAAGGACGATGTAAATATGCGGATATTTTCTCACCATACGTGTGATGCTGATTAATTTCCTAGGCTAATAAATCCGTTAGGTAAAGCGAGCGGAGGAGAATGATTCCGCCTGTATGTGTTTTACGATTACGTGGTGCGGTCTCCCATCAATACTAGGGGGGGGGGGCGCAGTTGTGTGACTGTAGCATTGTATCCACCGCTATATGCAAACATGTCAATATAGACCACGCTGCACGATGGCAGCCCGTCGTATATTACCTGCGCGCGCGAAGCGATTGCATCACGCATACCACGGCAATAAATGTTGCCGCGCTTGAATGTCACTGTAAAATTGCGGAAAGGGACATTTGGATTGCATATACAGTTCGCATAGTATAAATAAATGATTATATATATGGCGGAGTTTTCCGTGCGACCACTGATTTTGTTATAGGCCATGCAAGGTATAGCTCTGACGCGGAGCGGTGTGTGTGCGTGCGTGTGTGCGTGTGTGCGTGCGTGCGTGCGTGCGTGCGTGCGTGCGTGTGGCGTGTGATGGCTGCTGCGCTATCTTGTGCATGGTATCATATATACGTACTGCACCATGCCGGGGTGGCTTCAGCTAAGAGTATAGGTGGTGTGAATTAGCTTGGAGCAGTTCGCCCCACTCACGTGTTGACTTAGGTATTCAATGCCGATCTCTTGCTACAACTATGTCTCAGGTATCAAATAACTAATGACGGCTGACAATTAACACCTGCGTACAGGTGTAACATACGTGAAAGGTTATATACGACGAGGCGAGCATATACCTGCTCTCAAGTGTACCATAAAAGAACGCCTGTCCAACAAACCTGGAATCAAGTGTGAGCTAACGGGGGCTGTCTAACAGACCTACTCTATCAGGTATAGTGGTGACGTTGCTATGCAGACTTGCTTTCAGCGTGCTTAATTAAGGGATGCTGGCTTGCCTGCCCCTGAATGAAGCAATACTAATGTTGTTTGCTAACCATGCTATCAGCTGTGACGTATGGGAGACTGCGAGCTATCAGGTGTGGCATTGTGAACGTGTTAAACATACCTACTCGTAGCCGTAGCTTGCGCTAGGTATGATTTCCACGCGTAGAAAGAGGGTACTTCTACAATAAAATTATTTACTCGGCTATACTCTGTTTTATGATATTACCATAGCTCACACTACACGGTATACAGTAAGAGTACAATGTAACCACAAGGTAACACAGTACATACAACTTACGGTACACAGTAATTGTACATATAACGCCAACACAACGACCACGCTACACAGCTCCACACTCAACAACCACCACCATACACAGCTACATCACTACCCACACCACAATACCAGTAGCACCCTATAACACACCAGTACACAGCCACATATAACACACACCACTCCAACAGTACACCTATACACCCACACCCTAAACTAGCACACATATATAAACACACATAAGCAGTACATATAAACACCAATAACAGAGCATATAAACACAGCAGTAACGGCACACATAATAAACATCAATGCAATAAACAGTAACATATAAACACACAGTAGGCAGCACATCTATAAACGGCTCACGGTAACGTAACATATATACACTTTAAGTAACTGTACATATATAAGCTCACGGTAAACATGTACATATATAACTACCGTAACTGTTAGATATAGTAACCTCACGGTACCTGTACATATATATTAACCTCCCGGTAAGCTGGTACATATATCGCTCACGGTAATCTGTACATATATAAACACACGGTAACTGTACATATATTAATTCACAGTAACTGTAATACAGATAACCACACAGTAATATTACATATAACCACACAGTAACAACACACATATAAACACACAATAACAGTACATATAAACACACAGTAACAGTACATATAAACACACAGTAACAGTACATATATAACCTCACGGTAACTGTACATATCTATAACCTCACGGTAACTGTAACATATATAACAGCACGAAGGTAAATATATAACTACCACAAGTAACGTTACATATAAACACATCAGTAAGTGTAGGATCTATTAACTACACGCGTAACTGTACATATATACCTACACGTAACTGTACATATATAATAATTAAACACGATAAATGTACATATATAATACACAGTAACTGTAGCACTATATAAATACACAGTAACTGAGGCTATATAACTACAGCGGTAACTGTACATATATAACCTCACGTAACTGTAGGCACTATATAACTAGCACAGTAAACGTAATATATAACCTCACGGTAACTGTACATATATAACCTCACGGTAACTGTACATATATAACTACACGGTAAACTGTACATATATAACCTCACGGTACTGTACATATATAACCTCACGGTAACTGTACATATATAACTATCTACACGGTAACGTACATATAAACCTCACGCTAACTGTGACATATATACAGCCTCACGGTACTGTACCATATATAACTCACGGTACCTGTACATATATAACTACACGTAACTGTACATATATAACCTCGCGTATATACCTCGTAGTTCTCCTGCACGTCGTCTCTGACTGTAGAATGCCGTGGCAGTTGAGAGGCGGCGGACTCTCGCTGATATCATCTGAAAAGCTCCATCGTCGGCTCCGTCCTCGATGTCGGCCTGGTAGCTGAACGACGACGGAAACGACGGATGCGATGCCGACGTCGACAGCCGACGAGATCCGACCGCGAATGAGTTCGTCGAATCGGGTGCCTGAGAAATATATATATATATATATATTATAGTGGTGTGTTGTGTGTTGTGTGTGTGTGTGGCGTGCGGTGCGTGCGTGGCTGGTGCGTGTGTGCGTGCGTGCGCGTGCGTTGGTGGTGTGTGTGTGCGTGGGCGCGTGCATGCTTGCGTGTGGTGCGTGTACGGGCCGTGCGCGATGCACGCCTCTCTGCGTGCGCGGGCGTGCGGCGCCGGCGTGCGTGCGACGTAACGTGTAAACCAACGACCAGAATGTCTTGCTTTAAAAGCCGATGAGGCACCATCGATGATAACAGGAGTAAATAGTGAGATATATATATATACAGGCCGTAGCAGCTTTATTTGGGGGGGGGGTTCGTTTTTTCATGATTAGCAATGTTGCTCGGGCAGGGCGTGTACAGAGTTTGTACCAGGGGGGGGTATATACGTAACCCAAAGTTAGAGCGCAGCGAAGGGGGTCTGGGCCCTCCTCCCAGAATATTTTTAAAATTACACCCCCCTCAGATGCTTTTCCTGCGCGAGCAAAGGGGGGTCTGGACTCCCTGGACCCCCCTGTGTACACGCCGCTGCTCGGCGCGAACGACGCAGGCGAGGGAGGCCATAGCGACCGAGCGGGGGGAGGGTGTGGGATGGAGGGTGTTCACTGTTCACCTCTCCGCACGATGGAGATTTTGCAATTATTTACACTAAAATGGAGGCGACTTAGGTGAAAGTTCTTCGCAATTTTACAACAAAATTTTTTTTGTCTTGCGGGGGGAGGCTCGGGGGTTCGTCGAACTCCCCAACGCCCCCCCCCCCTGGCCTACGGGCCTGTATATATAATATATACTGTTATATAGACATGACTACTATATATATATATACTATATATTATTATTATATAGACATAACTATATATACTATAATAGACATGACTACTATATAATAATATATAGGGTTACTGTAGATAAAAGAAACGCGTATGTTGTATTTGACTGTACTACATACTTCATGCACGTGCGCAGCTTTCTCTCGCTACTTATCGATTAAACATTGGATTACGGCGGTGAGATTAAACGCAGTTAATTGATAAATTTGCAGATAATCGCTATTCCATGTGTTTAAATTATCTTCCTGAGTGAATTGATTAATTAACTGTAAAATATATCTTATTTAGACCGAGCCCTCTGAAAATTTAACTAAAATCTTTTGATGTTTTCCGCCTTATGAAAGATATCAACGATTGAAGTAATTTAGCATGCAGAGAGGTAGATACCAGCCGATAAAGGCTTGTTCGCCTGAAGGTCGACAATACCGAAAATTACCTATGAAGGTAAACATTCGTTACGTTTAACATGTAAACACAGAAGCCGTTGAATTCGATTGTAATGAAATACACGCTTAGAGACAATGGCAAGCTGTCAGATCGATGCTTCTGTTCATCTTACGCCTTTATTGATACAGCCTGCCTCTGCCCTGCCGCTCTTGCTCTTTCGTGGCATATCTATAATACCTTGTGGCAATTCTATTAGTACGCTGTGTAACGCGATGTTGTGTTGTCGTCTGCGCATAAGTCTGCCTGCTGAGCTTGCCTGGTTGGCGTAAGACAGGCTCCGAGGACTGTAAACTCAACTGTAACAGAGAAGGTGCACTTGTCGAGCTGCTTCGTTGACAATGCAGAGAACAATACTATTGACACGCTTCCTGGTAGTTGTCGAGTTACTGTCGTAAAGCTGCTCCTCTAGCTTGTCCTGTCCGAGGATTGCAAACTGTAAGCTAGAATCAAGTTCCTATCTGTTATTATCTGATCTTCTTGTTGATAATAACGTCATCGTAATTTACACGTGGCATAACGCTGCAAAGATAATCGATTTAACCAATTTCTCGCTCTACAGGCAGCTCTTTAAAATTGTGCATTCGTGTGCTCATTTCTGCGTTCACATTTAGCGTGTATTTCCGTCGCGCGTGCTCTGTTGGCGCTAGAACATATTTGCCTTTTTAAAAGGTAATATTTTCGTTGGGTTCTATTTCTAGCTGTTAATCGCGACAGTGTGAACAAATTCCGTCGTGATATATGTTATATTATAACGTGTATTATGTGTGAGATTGACGCTAAAAAGCAAACGTCCTTGTCAGTACTCAGTGGGCGCACGTGATTATACAAAGCGTCCGCGCACGGCTACACTGCCATACTCCATCACTGTCACTAGTTCGACGCAGTTTTTAAGAGAGAGACGAGAGGTGGTGTGTCGTGTGTGTGTGCGTGTGCGTGCGCGTCGTGTGTGTGTGTGTGTGTGTTGTGTGTGTGTGCGAGTGGTGGCGTGCTGCGTGTGCGTGTGCGTGTCGCGTGTGCGTGTGTGTGTGATGGTGTTCGTGTGTGTGTGCTGTGTGTGTGTGTGTGCGCGGTGTGTGGCGTGTGTGTGTGTGTGCTGCTGTGTTGCTGCGGTGTGTGGTGTGTGTGTGTTGTGCTGTGTGTGGTATGTGTGTGTTGTGTTTGTGTGTGTGTTGTGTGTGTGGCTGTGGTGTGTGTGGTGTGTGTGTGTTGTCGGCGCGCGCGGTGGTGCTTGTGTGTGCGCGTGCGCCGTGGTGTGTTGGTGTGCGCTGCGCGCGCGTGGCGTGCGTGTCGCGGTTGTGTGTGTGCGTGCGTGCTCTGGGTTATGGTGTGTGAGAGAAAGAGAGAAGAGTGGAGAGAAATGTGTGTATGTGTTGTTTGTGTGTCTGTGTGTGTCTGTGTGTGTCTCTGTGTGTGTGAGAGAGAAGTGTTATGTGACTGTAGGGCGTTAATTGTAAGGTCCACGCACACGACACAGCACAGCACAGCACGGGTGTTGCCATGACAGTGTTTTCTGTCATCAGTGCGTGACAACTGTCTCTCCTATCTGGATCGCGCCTAACCCTCTATAAGTATACTATAGCACTTCACTCGGCCACGTGCAGTCTCTGTAACCTTGTCTATAGTGAAGCGAAAGGCTGCATAATTACATCTAGATCGTACGCATAGTTTATAGTCTAATATGCACATGTACAAGTGGGAACGCAGTATACATAACATACGTAACATACGTAACATACGTAACATACGCAGTGTACATAACATACGCAGTAACATACGCAGTAACATACGCAGTATACGTAACATACGTAACATAGGCAGTATACGTAACATACGTAACATACGCAGTATACGTAACATACGTAACATACGCAGTATACGTAACATACTTAACATACGCAGTGTACATATAACATACGTAACATACGCAGTATACATAACATACGTAACATACGCAGTAAAAATAACATACGTAACATACGCAGTGTACGTAACATACGCAGTATACGTAACATATGTAACATACGCAGTGTACATAACATCGGCAGCGACGGTGAAGTGACGGTAACGCGACAAGTACGGCAAACGTTACCCCCAAGAAAAATCATATAATGTTAGTTTCCCTCCTGCGCATCCTTCGCTACACGGTAGCACATGTTACCACCCATCGAATCATGGCGTACGCGAGATGCATAAACACGGATAAGCTAACCAGCGTAAACAGAAGCGATGCACGCACCTGTATGCCCCCTGATTCACACATCAAAGCGGCAACACACGAGATCTAAAATACGCTTAAAATATTCTCCATGCACTTGATTCAACACTGACCTGTTAACGGAGACTGTAGGTGCACTGGGTTTCATTCTCGCACAGCGCTATCGGTACCATCCACACTGCATTCACAGAGGCACATACGTGTACGCGAAGCTGCCAGTTCACCACCGTTCATCGAAATAATAATCAAGCTCACCACTTACTCCAGGTGGCCACGTAGGTGGTCGATACACCATGCAGGTTATAGATGGTCAACCGACCGTGCAGGTGCGCTACTCACACACCAGTCACGAAACAGATGGTGTCAGTCTAGATCGAATCGATACTCCCAACCCGAGTCTGGTTGCTCAGCGCGTCTGTTCAGAGCACCAGCTCTGATGACGTAGTCAACTACGACACAGACGCATATTACCGAGTGATATACCTGTTTGCATTTCTCGTACGATCTGCGATAGCGCGTTTTGTGGAAGTCTCGCTTGAAACTCATGCGTTTGAAAGATAACGTTGAGACATTACCGCTAGCGACACACACACACACACACACACACACACACACACACACACACACACACACACACACACTTAGGGTTACTGTAGATAAAAGAAACGCGTATGTTGTATTGACTGTACTACATACGTTCATGCACGTGCGCAGCTTTCTCTCGCTACTTATCGATTAAACATTGGAATTACGGCGGTGAGATTAACGCAGTTAATTATAATTGCAAAATCGCTTTCCATGTTTAAATTACTTCCTGAGTGAATTGATTAATAACTGTAAAATATATTCTTATTTAGACCTGAGGCCTCTGGGAAAATTTACTAAAATCTTTTGATGTTTTCCGCCTTATGAAAGATATCAACGATTGAGATGGTAGCATGCAGAAGGTAGATACAGCATAAAGGTTGTTTGCAATGAAGGTTGAAATACCGAAAATTACCTATGAGGTAAAGATTCGGTCACGTTAAATGTAACACAGAACCCGTTTGAATTCGATTGTATGAATACACGCTACGAGACAATGGCAAGCTGTCAGATCAATGCTCTTTCATCCTACGCCTTTATTGATACAGCCTGCTCTCTCGCCGCTCTTGCTCATTTCGTGCAATCTATATACCTGTGCAATTTATATACCTGTGCAATCTATATGCCTGTGCAATTTATATACCTGTGCAATCTATATACCTGTGCAATTTATATACCTGTGCAATCTATATGCCTGTGCAATTTATATACCTGTGCAATCTATATACCTGTGCAAACGCGATGTTGTTGTCGTCTGCCATAGTCTGCTGCTTAAGCTTGCCTGGTTGCGAGGAAGGTTGAGAGGACTGTAACTCACTGTACAGAGAAGGGCACTTGTCGAGTCTGCTCGTTGACAACTGCAGAAACATACTATTGACACGCTCCTGTAGTTGCGAGTTGCTGTCGTAAACCTCCTCTAGCTGTCTGTCCCGAGATTGCAACTGTAAGTAGAATCAATTCCTATCTGTTATTAGCTGTATCTTCTGTTTGATAATAACGTCAATGGTAATTACACGTGCATAACGTCAAGGATAATCGTATTTAACCAGATTTCCTCTCACATGCAGCTCTTTAAATTTTGCATTCGTGGCTCCATTTCCTGCGTTCTACTTTACGTGTATTTCCGTCTGCGTGTTTGTTGCGCTAGAACGATATTTTGCGCTTTTAAAAGGTATATTTTCTTTGGGTTCTATTTCTAGCTGTAATCGCGACAGTGTGAACAATTCCGACGTGTATTATGTTATATATATAGACGTGTATTATGTGTGAGAATTGACGCTAAAAGCAAACCCTTGTCGTACGTCAGTGGGCGACGTATATACAAGCGTCCGCGCACGCATACACTGCCATACTCATCACTCATGGGTGAATGCGTGTGTGCGTGCATTTATTGCGTTGTTGCGTGCATGTGCGTTTGTGGGTGCATTGTGGGCGTGTGTGCTCTGGCGTGCGCGTGGTGCGGTGCACTCTATGAGTGGCTAGATCGGCACACTTGAAACGGCATTGTTTGGCGACTCTTACATCAGTGGTCTACGAAACGAGAAGGCGTTCTCCGGAGCTAATTATACGTGAAACCGAACGACAAAGCTGTCGTTGAGTAGAGCGGCTGTCGTTAGCCTAGCTCAACTGGTGCATGACATGACGCGTGGCCCGCGCTTCGCCACATCTACTTAGATTAAAAGAGAACAGAAGACGCGCACCGCGTGCGGCTCTGATCGCCCTCCAGGCCCGGAGCCAGCGCGTGCATGCCACACAGCATGACGCTTAACACTTACCAGTCTTTGGAACAGAGTGTATATTTGGACATGCACATACGTAAAGACCGCGACATATATTTGTATTATCGACGCGAACGGAGGGCGCGTGCGTGTGCGGTGTAACTGATTCGAATTCGTTTTTCGAGCAGAGAGGACGTTGCGGATAAACAATGCGGCAAGTTTCAGACCAATATTATACTCGCGGTGTGATTTGTCCTTCACTTCTCAAGGTTTATACATGGCTGGTATGTGCTATGACTATGTGTGTATAGTATAAACTATCATGTACGATAAGTATCATATAGGTATAGTATACCCGTACCACTGTTCCGCGAGAGGAGAAGCACGAGAGTACGACGCAGAGATAGTACTAGATAGAGAGAGGAGAGAGAAAATCACGACTGCACGAAATAGGAGCAATGATAAGCACAACGAGATGAACTGAGACGTAATGTAGAAGATGGAAGTAAGGAGCTAAAGAGAGAGAGAGAGAGAGAAAAGCGCGAGAGAGAGCAAGAGGAGAGATGGGGCTGTGGGCGGGAACCTACGGTGTACAAGGATATAATTTCTCAAAGGATGCATGACGTACTTCATGTGACAGGGGAGAGAGAGAAGAAAGAGAGAGAGAGAGAGTCAGCACGGGAAGAAAAAATGCAGAAGAGAAAGACTAAGAGTAGAAAGAGAGGAGATGCAAGAGTGATGGACAAGAAAGTTGCACATTTGAGCGAGAAAAGAAAGATTAGAAGAGCACAAGAAAGAGAGAGATGAAGTGTATAGAGACGAGATTGAAAGTAGAGTATGCATGACATGACGAGGAGCAGCAAGTATGCCGCAGAGAAAGAGAAGAGCAAGTTACGTAAGAAGTGCACGAAAAGAGAGTAGAGAGCAAGAGATGGAAATTTATTGCAAAAACTGTCGTTGTCCGTGCGTGGAAGATGATGAGATGGCAATGCTTGCATACTTTCATACCGCCACTAGCCGTCAGCGTATAAATGGATAGTACTAGCGCTAATTACAAGCATCCTAGTGTGCAGTTTCTAAGTAGATTATATCTATAGATGTATAAATCTCTAATAATATCATTCCTTAGCGATACATACACTCGAGAATTGAATTTATGGAGTGTCTGCGTAGCTCAGTGGACGACAGAAAAGGACGAACAGTTTCATGCCGAATCTGTTCGAAGTCAGCTCGTGTGGCAGATTATTGGCGTCGATGAGGCAGGCTGCAGTATATAGGGAAGACAAAAGATGGGCCTGGAGGCGCTATAATACGGGAAGACAAGATGGCTGCTGCTTATACAGGAAGACAAGGATGGCGATCTCATTGAGGATTGGCTGGCCAAGGAAAGGACCTCCTGCTGCGCTGAATTGGGGAAGATGTTACTGGAGGAGAATCAGGCCTACAGATGGCGCTTGCGAGGGTTATACGGAAGAGTGTGAGGAAACCGTTGAGGTGATTGATGCGCTGCAAAATTATCTGCATTTATTAAGTCACGTCGTCTCACTACGTTCCACCTCTGCACTCTGCTCTCTCCTCTTTGCCTGCCTCTCTCATCTCCTCTCCCTCTCTCTCTCTCTCTCTCGTCTCTCACATGCTTCTGCCTCCGTCTCGAATATCACTGTCAGTCTTCGTACAAATCGCTGCTCCTGGGTCTGCAGCTCTCTGTCGCCGCTGCTAGCTGCTCGCCCTTCGTCTTCTCTCCCTCTCAGTTCACCCTCTCTCTCGGTGTGCCGTGTTCTCACCGCCTTCTCTAAGCGTGTTCTTCAGAGACCCCTCTCTCTTCTTATCTGCTTATATTGCTATAATCCTGCATCTATCTTCTTTAAATGCTCTAGATTTATCGTTATTTTCTCTTACCCCTCGTTCTGCTTTTAGTTTTCTCGTCGAAACCACTTGTTTGCTGGACTATCTTATAAACTGGCCAGGGTTATACGTCGCAAGTCATCAGCCTATCAGCATACACATTAGGTTCGCACGCGAGCAACACTTTTATCTTTGATTAGCGCGTTTTCATTCAAGTAGAGTATAGGTCGACATTGTGAAATCTCTGAAGTAATTGGAATACGAAAAGAGAGAGACGTATATATAATATAGTATAAATATATATAATATAAGTAATATATATATATTAATAATAATGCTATATAATGGGGAGCGAGAATTAGGAGAGAATAAAGTAAGAGGATAGAGTAAAAGATAATCGAGGGAGATGAAGTGGACAGGCAATTAGATAATGTGTATGAGACAGAGCATGAAGAGTGTTGTACTAAGAGAGCCAAATGATGAATGCAGCGACAAAGAGATGGGAGACGCGAGAGAGGAGGTACGTATGTATGAGATATGAAGAGAGAAGACGTTAGTATGTAAGTGAGATCATTGCGTGTATCAGCAGTTTTATGTATTTAGAGATGTTAATGAATCAAGTGAGTTAAGATGTATCAGAGGAATGTATTAAGGAAAGAGTAAAGTACATGCAGGCTCAGCCATATATGTAGCGGTGCGACGTGAGAAGAAAGGGATGCAAGTATGGTAGAGTTACATGAGCGAGAGAGAGAAGAGAGAGAGAAGAGAGAGGGGCGACGAGCCGGTTCGCAATTAGAAAGTAGAGAATTGTTACTTCGTATATGTCTAGCTAATCAAAAATTTGGACTTTAAATAATACATGTACAATAGCAGGGGTCATGTAGCATAGCAACGCACACTCCGACATCTGAGTAAGCATCAAACTTTATGCTTGAAAGGGTACTACGATGTACAACGGTTCTGATATGCGGGGTGGGATGATGCTATAGAAGCACGAGGCGAGCTGAACCGATGAGGAAAATCTGGAGAATGTGGCGGCAGTTTAGCGAGCGCTCGTCTTATCAGACGCCAAGCAGAGTTAGACAGGTGCGAGAAGGGAGCGGGAGAAATACGGCGCCACGCTCGGGACATATCAGCGGCAGGCGACAGACGGACGGTTTCTTTCAGGCGGAGCGCTGTGGAGCAACCTCCGATTAACAGAGGCTCAGAGAAGACAATGAGAGCTGGCTGGTCAACTGAAGGAGGTGATGGCGAGATTGTACAGGTGATAGTGCGGGGCATTGCTAAATAAAAATATATAATATAAAGAGTTAATTAACATATTCAATATGAACAAGATTATATTACCTTGCACTCAATTTAATATAGAAGATGATTTAACTTCTCTACGACCCGTTTGTTAGGTCTTAGCCTGTATATGTTTTGGGGGGCCTTATTGTTGACCCCTAAGTGTCTTCGATTATTGATCCGCTGAGTTTATCAGCATAATGGATTAAGCTGCTTCGTTATTTCTCAGCTTGCAATAAAGATGTGATTACATCGTTCTTAACGGCCGAACGTTTGGCTGATTTGGCACTAGAAAATGAGAATTTCTTTTTACTTTATTATCACAAATAGCCGCAGACTACACTCAAACTATACAGATATATGCTTGTGCCGACATCTGACAGGTGCGGCGCAGAGGGCGCTAGTTGATGGCAGAGGTCTTAGAACAAGGAACTACAGGCAGGCGTAGTGCTCAGGGTGATAACAGCACGCTCGACTAGGGCCATATACAAGACGCGTCGATACTATTACGTCGCAGAAGATAAGAGCGCTAGAGGACTGGATCACGTAGGAGAACAGGCAGAGGAGAGAAAGTTATGAGAGAGAGAGGAGGAAGAGAGAGAGAGAGAGAGGAGCAGAAGAGATGAGCGGGGAGTGTTCAGACGAGAGAGAGAGAGGATCGAGAGAGAGAGTGAGGTGCAGAGGAGAGCGCAGATTTTGAGTTGACGGATCAAGATAATATTTCGAAATTTAGCGGGAGAGCACCTGTGTAGAGAGAGACGACGAGATGTAGAGACGGATGTCGTCGAGAGGGAGAGTCTAGATAGGACGAGATCAGATTTAGAGTGTAGAGTGAGAGAGAGAGAGAGATCGCAAGAAAGTAGGTAGAAGATCGAGAACGATGAAGTATATCAGCATAGGAGGGAGGTACTAGAAGTTGAGCTAATGTAAGAATGAAGCCTATAAGAAGAGAGATAGAGAAGAGAGAGAGTTATGGGACGAAATAGAGGAGTATGAACGAGAGTAGAACACGGTGTATGAAGTTCCAGAGCAGACGTATAGAGAGAGAGAGACTGAGCTGTTGAGCAAAGCAGAGAGAGGAGAGAAAGAGA